TCGCTGTAATGCCACATCATTAATACTGTAAGTGTGGGTTTTCAGCTCTGTTGACTCGGAACAGACCAGTTTAGTTTGGATGAAAAGTTAGTTCGGTGAAGTTCATTAACATTTGCAGCAGTAGAAAGTAACTACATACATTAACTCAAGTGCTTTACTGAGGTTATGAAACACTTACTTTACTTGAACATTTCCATCTCGTACTACTTCAGCTCCACTACATTTATTCGGAGAACTCCCATTTTCAAAATTCATGTCACTCCTGTGGTCTAAGACAGTCCAAAAATATAAGTAAACTAGTCCATACCCATTGGTAGCTTTGTCACCTTCTACCTATGCCAATCCTCAATGCCTATGTGCAGTTTCACATAGATTGACCACGTCAGTGAGTAGAAAAACGTGGGACAGACAGAATGACTGACTGACAGAATGACACACATGACAGTTTCTGTGATTATGTACAGCATACCATACCATGACTTAGTCATACCAAAAATTAGAAAGAAAAAACAAACATTGGGCCACAGGGGGAGCCACAGCAATCGGTCACATTTTAGCCATTTTTAAGCATTTTTCTGTTGTTATAGCGCCACCCAGTTGCCAAATAGAGTTAAATCTCTCCAGTCACCTTGAGGCGTCCTGTTCTACATATCTACCAAGTTTAGTAAAAATCGATATGGCGGTTAGGCCTAGATAAGAAATTAGCTCTCTAGCGCCCCCATTTTGTTTGATCGGGTCAAGAATGGAGGGGTCCCCTCAGATTATGTGTGTTCATATGCCTACAAACATTTTAAGTGTTTTTCAAAAAATTCAAAATGGCGGAAAATCTATACAACCGGAAGTTATGGGTTCTTGAGCAAATTTGTTCCTCGTGAGGAGAGGCATCTCTGTGCTAGTCTCGCCACCAGACAATCAGAGATCTCTGCCTTCTGATAGTCTGGGGACACTCCTTTCTAAAGTGTGTTTATCACACCGGCGAAAACGGCCGGCAACAAAGCAACGGCTCTTGCATTTTTGAAAAGGACACGCCTTCTCGGAAATGTGCGCTCCCCCTTTTCTCGTCCACAAGGAAACAAACACACAGAGAGCTTGAAAATGGATGCCGAGAGATTTAACTCCGTTTTATCAAACGTGTGCTCATCCGTGAAGAAAATATTTTTTCCAGCGGATGTCTTAGTTACAACATGATTGAGCTAACTGGAGTAGTTTCATGTCGTATCCAACAACGGGAGGCTTTTAACAGATGACGTCCTGATGTTAGCTTTGCTGCTGCTGTTAGCTGTCCCTGTCAGCTGCAGCCACTGATGCTTTCTAGACATCGTGATTTCCCAAAACTGAATAAATACCACACATAGCAACACAAAACTGCTTTGCTAGCTCAATCATGTTGTAACTAAGATATCCACAGGAAAAAATATTTTTTTCATGGATCATTTAATGAGTTATTACCTATTACAGACACCGCTAACGGCTAAAAGCTCTGCTGGTTTTCTACCCAGAAGTATTTGTAAACAACAAGGCGATTCCCTCTATAGTCTGGCTGGATGGATGAGTCATGGCCTTGTAAAAGATTATGTTTGTTTCTTTTAGTTGGCGAGAATGTGTCGCCGCAAATGCGACAAACATCCACTAACTTTGATGGCGTTTTCTGCGAGCGCGGCTGAGCCATTTTGTACCGCTACACGTGTTTCTAGTCGGACTATGTTTACAAGCACAAGAGTTCAGCGAGCCACCGAAGGACCGCCCTGCAGATTTACTATTGGTTCTGCAATGTAGGGAGTTTTTTTTAAACTCTGAAATTGTATCCGCCCATCTAAACACAAAATCAGGGAGAAAGTCATCAGTCTTTAGTTAAGCAAAGCGTCTAAAGCCTGACTTGTGAGTCTATCTCTGCAAAGTTTCATGTCTCTACGACATACGGGTCAAAAGATATGCCCATTCAAAGTTTGCAATTTCAATCGGTTGCTATAGCGTCCCCCTTTGGCCAGTTGGTGTAATATTGCTTCATTTGCATCCTCCCATGACCCTCTACCACTGTGCCAAATTTCACATGGATTGACCAAGTCAGTGAGGAGAAAAACGTGGAACAGACACACAGACAGACAGAGTTTTCGTCATTATATAGTAAGACATGAACAACTCTCTCCCAAACCCAAAAACTAGAGTACTATAACTCAAATTTGTGATGTCATCAAGTATACAGCCTGTAATAACTCTATAGACAGTGAATTGGTAAAGATGTTCTAGGTGACACTGAAGGCCAAAACACACTGGTGGCGAATGCTGCGCATCAAAAAAATTGCCCCTTTAATTTTCAATATCTCCGCAGCCTCACCGTCCCTGAAATTAAATGCATTTCCCCCACTCGATTTTTGCTTATACATACAAGCTCCCGTATCAGCTCTTTTTCTGTGCTCCTATGGCAGCTCGACTCCTCTCCTCATCATTGATGCATAAAAAGAACTCTGCAGCTGTTGCAGTGTCTCGTGTGTGACAAAGAAACAAACATTGAATGGGTTCACAAAATCAGGCTCCCATTCATTGTCCATGGACAACTCATGTTCACAAATGTTGATTGAACTGTTCTCTGAAATGGAAAAAACGTATTGGAGCTCTTAATTTAGGATGCTTCCTCTTTAAGTGTCTCGTTGTGGCTGCTTATCATGTTTCAGACTCCTATGAGTTGTTAGCAGGTCCTCCAAGTCTTAGATGGTTTCATCTAAATGACTGATGGTAGCTGAGTGGTTACACTGTATGCCATATAACTGCAAAGTCCTGGGTTTGATTCCACCCTTGAGATCTTTGTTGCATTTCTTACCATCTCTCTCTATATATATATATCTCTCTTCTACCTTCCTACACTGTGCTCTTTCAAATAAAGGAAGAAATGCCCCAAAAGTAGTATTAAATAACTGCTAAAAGCTCAAAGAGGTAAAACACACCCACAGATTTGCCTGCTGGGGAACTTTACAACCATTAGTGCTTCTTTAAGGAAATTATGGAAAGAGGGTTTTAGAAATAGCTTTGAGCTTTGCTGGGATGTGCACAGTGATGACGTGCAAGTCTGATTCCCATCAAAGAATTCAATTTCTCAGGAGGCTGAGACTGTTTGGAGTTCAGAAGAACATGCTTTTATTCTACTATGCACTTCTGGAAAGTATTATTAGATATGGCATGACAGCCTGGTACCTAACTGTTCAACTAAAAAACAGAACTCAGGTGAAAACTGCAATGAAAATAACTGGACAGAAAGATTACATCTCCCTTCAATCCATCTATGATTATAAAGTACTGAGACAGGCACACATGATTCTCCATGACCCAACACACATCCTCCATCCAGAATATGAACTTCTTCGGTAAACATTACAGAGCCAGCAGACACAAAACAAATCACTTTAAACTCTCATTCGTCCCGTCATCCATAACTCTTCTAAACAATTGTAGACATTGCCCTAATTTGCATTTTTAATCCACATTTTACATTTCTTCTAACCCTGAAGTACTCTTTGTATCATTGATTCCCTGATTTTAGGTTTTATAGATTATTTTATTTCTCTTTTTTTTATCCAGTCTTTTATCCATTTATTTGTATTACTTATACCATGGGCAATACCTGATACTGCACTGCACTTTTTCTGCCTTCTTGTATGTATTGTTGCAACTGTATCTGGCACTTCAGCCCAAAACAAATTTCCTTTGGGACAATAAAGTATATCTTATCTTATCTTATCTTATCTTATCTTATCTTATCTTATCTTATCTTATCTTATCTTATCTTACCTTATCTTATCCATGGCCAGATAGTTTTTGGAAATGAACAGCTGCATTCAACTTGAAAAGATCACGTACACTCTAAGAATTAGATACAACACCTTTCTGAAGATTTGGCAACCACACTTGACGCATATAGATACTTAACCAACACCTCTATCAGATTTGTTATAAAAAGCCATTAGTACCCTGGTTAAGCCAGGATTATTTATATTGCCTCTTACTTTATGTTTTATATATTTATTTGTATTATCAATTTATTTTTTGATTAGCACCTACTCCTTTTGAGTTAAGTCCTCTTTTGGTTTGTATGTGGGGGTAGGGAGGGAATTTGGAGCCATGTTTGTGTGTGTGTGTTGTGTATGTAAAATTAACATATTAAAAAAAGAGGTAAAACACACACACATGCACACACAAAGCTATATGAGTAAAAAGTCAAAAAAAAAACAACAACAAACAAACAAACAAAAAACAATACAGACTGAGTATCAGAACTTTGTTAATTCTTATTTCCTCTTCCATTAATTATCTCACAACCTCTCAGCTTTATCTTGGGACCCTCTGGAGGGCCTGAACCCCAGGTTGAAAACCACAGGACTAAACTGCCAAACTAGTTAAAACTAGCCCCACCAGCTACAACAGTAAAAGTAAAAACATATCAGTCACAGTGGATTTTTTTCTGCAGAATGACTTTTACTTATTGGTACTTTCACTTTAGTAAATGTGTCTACTACTTCTTCTAACACTGAACATTTGTCAGTTTCGAGGGGACTTTTGGGCCCATCTAAATTCCCCCCTCTCTCCTCTCACTGTGTATCTTTGCCTTATTACACAATAAAACCATTCAGCTGACAGTAAATTAGATTTGCTTGCTCATGTTCCCACACTCTCACATCTCATGATATTTAGCCTCAGCTAACTGCGCCCATGATATCTACTCTGCCTCCGAGGCAGCCATAGTGTCTGGCCTGTGCTGGTTTCAGGTAAGTCCACCTGTCATAACACTCCAATAGTCCCCCTCTCATACTACGTGTCCATCAGAGCAAGTTTGCTGATCAGACACTGGCCTGCTTTCTCATTGGCCCCTGGACTTTAATAGGATCCCAGGGACTCTGTTGGAGGGATTACGGCTCCAAACTCTCGACTTTGGCCAGTCTCTGTGTCCTCCAACCATGGGAACGGCGGTTTAGGGGGTCGCCGCACATGCACAGACCCAGAGAGGCGCCATCAAAAGACATCATCACGTCAAGAGGAGGAAATCATCTCAAAGGGGGGGCTACAGCGGTGTGACCAGTCAACTTGAGAAGAAAACTGTCATCTCTGGAAAAAGGAATATCTATTTTCTTACATATTTTGTTATTTGACAATTATCTCCAATTTTCCCATGGTTTTTTTGCACTTATTCGGATCATAAATCATCTGTTTGGGACAATTTCAGCATCCAAGTGGAACATTTTGGATTATCCCCAGAGGTCGACCGTGTCCTTTACCATCACAGGGATCTACCTGCTTATCCCCTCCACCTGGAACAACTTAGATGAGCTCAAGCTGCTAATAACCCCCTAAACAACAAGGCCTGTACTGACCACTGTGAAAACAACCTCTTGTGACCTCTGTCGGGTTTGTCTCTTTACATGCAGCTGGCCTCCTCTGGATTGACTGTCGAGTTTTGACCAGATACACTGAACTTTCCTGCTCCTGCCTCTCACGTTTCTCTTCTGTCTCTGCGTTGCACAGTCGTGAGCCATGGTGCTGCTGAAGGTTAAGTTCACCCAGCAGCGGCGGGTGCGTCTGGCCCAGGGCCTGTGGCTGCTCTCCTGGATGGCAGTGATGTGGGGGGCCATCATCTTCTGTCTGGGGGTTTACCTTAAGACAGAGCTGCTCCGTAGGGCTGAGGTAGAGCAAGGGAAACACACTCATGTGCACACAAATTAATACAATGTCGACTTAAAGACTCGAGGGGGCCGGGCTTAAAACACTGGCGTGGATTAATTCAAAGTTACACAAACATAGATTTGTATGCTCAGACCTTTGCCTTTGCTCGTGGTTGTTGACTGAGTCTGCTGCGCCGCCGCTTATCTGTGACTTTTATTTAAACTTAGCTCCACAGTTTAATCCACAAACACAAACACGTAGCATAGAAAATACCAGAGTAAACATGCACACAGTGACACCCGGGCGCAGTCATGCATGTTAGGTCATGAGGACGTTGTGCGTTAAAATGCTGTTATAAAAATCAACACTTTTTTTTCCCCCTATAGTCTTTGAGATTCAACATGTATTGACTTTAGGTAAAGTGAGCAGCAGGTGGAGGTCATGACCTCTACGAGATTGGTGCATTCATTCAATCTGCTAGTCACTGGGCTGGATTGATTGGTAATTGATGGGGATAGGTTGCATGCATTGATATCCAGTGGGCTGCACAGGAAAGCTGCAGGCCATGAACACATGCCTCCAGATAGTTATTGATCTCCAATGAGGGATTCCATAATGTGTAGTTGTGGAGCAAAGTGTTATTGATTTAGTGTAGAAAAGGCTGGGGGGGGGGGGGGGACACATATCAAACAGGGAGGGGGGCTCCACCAGAAAACTTTGAGCATCAAACACTTAATTTCCTGAATTCTGGTGAATGTTTATGTGCTAATTTGTGCATTTTCTGCATCAATTTATGGTGTAAATGTCTCTAATTTTGTCAAAACTCCTCTGCTACATTCATGTTTTTATAGAGGGGAGGGACACGCGCACATTTTTGTAAATACTGAGGGGGATGTGTCCCCTGCATCCCCCCTGAAATCTACACCTATGAGTGTAGAGAAATGTAACACGTGACCAACAATATAGTGACAGTAATGATGATCCACAAGAGTTAGATATACAAATACACATTGAGACAATTTGTTTTACACTTCACATACTTAATTTGCACAGATCATTGACAAAGCTGACTACTCCACAACCAGAGGCTGATATTATTTGTCCTAAACTCACATATGGCTGAACAGACACTGCATAATGATGATGTTACAAGGTGGCAGCACTGGGCTGTGGCTCTTAATGGTAATTCTAAAACAACAATGGGGCAAAGGTTCTTTATGGCTGACAGGCTTCTGAAAACTCAGCCAATAATAAACTCAGTCTGTAATTGACTTTTGCTGAAACCTGGGCAATGAATTAAATTTGTCATCACACTGCCGTAGTAGCCTTTGCATCCAGCCTATCAGCAGCTAATTGAATCTCTTGGCTGCCAAGGTAATTTTTAGCAAAGATAAGGCTAATTGAATGCAGGATTATTACCTGCTAAAGTGTGCAGAGGAAATGACAAAGTGACTTGCTGTTGGCTGCTGCTCCTGTGGCTGAGATTATCTCTGACTGTGCTCTTCCCTTCCTTCCTCGAGGTGATGGACAACACAGAGATCCACGTGGTGCCCAACATCCTGATGATGGTGGGCCTGGCCTCCATCGGCACCAACTGGGTTGCCACCCGCGTGTGTCAAGACTCCCTGGACCCAGCCCGCTTCCCACGTTGGAAAGTTTTCCTGCTGGCTTGGTTTGCTGCAGCTGCAGTGATCTGTTGTCTGCTCATCATTGTGGTGGTGCTCAGCTACGCACTGCAGGGACGCCTGGAGGAGTCACTAAAGGTGGGGTCACTGGTACTGATTGGAGGGTGACAGGTCAAAGAAGGGAGAGTAGGCGCCAGTACGGCCTTGTGGTAGAGAGATCTGTGACAGGGTGATGTCTTCTGATCCTTGTGGAATACCCAAAATGAAACATAAAGCTGCTATGGCTGAAAGAGAAGCCAACTGTCTACAATTACAGATGAAAATAGAAGAGTTTAGGGGGTTTGTGCCAAAGAAAATAAACGTGCCATCATATGCCTCCAAGTTCAGCTATAAATCCAGTTAAGTATGATAAAAAAAGATACACAAAAGCAAAGAAAAATTTTACAAACAAAACAAAACTGTGCACATTAATCAACATAACAGCATGCATTTACCATTTTCTGGTGACTTCAAATGTGTTAATTCATTACCCAACAAATAGTGAAGGATTACAGCTCTCAACTTTGTTAAATGTTGCATTAAGATTGAATACAAAAGAATTTAACAAACAAACCAGACATCTTTTTTTTTAATTGAATTGAATATATTTTCTTCAAACACTTTGTAAAAATTTAAATACATGTAAAAAACAAACAAGACAGCAGTAACCAATGAATAACAGTGGACATATACAACAAACTTTTAGTAAGCAACTTAAATTCACATCTAATGTTCAAAATGAAGTAGGAAACAGCAAGATTACTGTCCAATCCTACCCCTATTGTATACAATCAATCTGATAAACTCACTCTTCATCACAGTGTCCATCCTAAACTAAACCATCATATCCATCTTCCTCATACATAAACAAAATTACTACCCAATCAGGAATGTGAAAAATAAGAAAATAAAACCAATTAACCAACAATCACTGCTGGCACTGGATGTCAAAATGACATTAGAAAGGTCTTGGACTCTTATGTCGGACAGATGTTAAACTTTGGTTGCAATGAAAATGGGGTTGAAGGTAATTTAAATGTCTAACAATGTTAGAAATTCATGTCATAAGGATGTTAACTTAATGAGGAGGTTGGGTTTCATCACCATACCTTACGACTAAATGTCAATATTCTACGTCAAGATGATGTTGGCGTAAGACCTTGTCCTGACACTGAATTGTGGTCACCTGATGTCACAACCTAAATTCAACCAAATATCAAAGTCTAACAATGTTGGTGGACAGCTGGGATATCACCATTAGTTTGCTTCACATTCCCTTTCTTCTTTTCTATACCTCGCAAAAAGTGTTTATCTTTTTAAACTGTCTGATATTTGTGTAACTTCTTCCTCCAGTCCATTCCACAAAATCACCCCAAAAATGATCCACACATACTTCTAAGATTGGTGTGAACTCAGCATTTTCTCAAATTAAAATTTCCTCTAGAAAATGGTTTTACGTTAGACTGAAAATCATGAACAGATAAAAAAAAGAGAAAACATCTTTCTCCTTCACCCTTTTCTCTCCACTGCCAGGTGGGCCTCAGGAACGGTATCCGGTTCTACAAGGACACAGACGTGCCGGGCCGCTGTTTCCAGAAAGAGACCATTGATCGTCTGCAGATGGAGTTTCGCTGTTGTGGAAACAACAACTTCAAGGACTGGTTTGAAGTTCAGTGGATCAGCAACAGATACCTGGACTTCACCTCCAAGGAGGTCAAGGAGTGAGTGTGAATCGCAATACAGCGAGTTATGAGATGCAGAGAGGTGAGACAAGGTGATGGTGAGGAGACTGGACTGATGAGCGCTACACAGCAAAGCAAGGAGGAAAACAGAGATCTAGATGAATGACAGATGAGTAGACTTCACATCCAAAAAGGTCAAACAATATGTTATAGAGGAGGGCTGGAGAAAGAGGATGATGTGAAGGTAGAGGATGAGCGTATTAAAAATAGATTTGGCCTTTACTTTTGATGAGAATGACAGGAGTGGATAGAAAGGTTGGTCATAAAGCAAGCAGGGAAAGGTTGGTCAAAGATGAAATAAGTGAAAAGGGATGAGTAAACTGAAAGGTTATGACGTAATGACACTTGTAGAGAGGCACTGCTCATTTCTCACCAATGTTAAGTGTGTATTGAGCTGAAAGTCAAGCCTATAACTTCCTTTCTTTCTCCTCCTCTCTCATTTCTGTGTTTTTTTCCTAATCTGTTTTCCTCCCCTCATTGTCTCCAGTCGTATCCGGAGTAATGTGGACGGCCGTTACCTGTTGGATGGCGTTCCTTTCAGCTGCTGTAACCCTGCCTCCCCTCGCCCCTGCCTGCGGTACCACCTGACAGACAACAACGCCCACTACAACTATGAGTACCAATCAGAGGAACTCAACCTGTACAGCCGTGGCTGCAGGCAGGCTCTGACTGACTACTACATGGAGCTGATGAACTCAACTGGTCCTGGTGTGCTGTCAGTCATCCTAATACAGGTGGGAATCATTGGTAAAATACAATATTTATCAAGGCACACAGGGTTTATCTAACTAAATATGTATAACTCTGATGTTTGCTCCTGCAGTTACCAGGATTCCAGACACACACACACATTCACAACCCCAGAATTTTCTATAATGGTTGTCTCCTGATGCCGTGACAACCAACAGAAAGAAAACCTCACCGACACACACTGATTTCTGTCTTTTAATCAAACATGTACTTTCACTCCTTTGTCAAATCACAGTATTGGCAGCACGTTCTCTTCAAATAACAAACAAGACCTCAGGCTGGAACAGGACACTCATACACATGTTTAACAGTGCATCATTACACTCCGCCTGCAGCTAGCCAAACAGTCTATCCTTTTAAGCACAGCAGTTCAGTGTGGCTGTTTTTCCAGTCCACCGTGATGGGGATGGATGGCTGCCGTGCAGAGAGCTAACGAGGCATCAAGCTGAGTTGTAGATAACGTCTGATTTTCAAGCAAAAGCCAAAAACCTGCTTTGAATCATGTAGCCGCGAGATCAAACAAAAGAGGGGAGAGGAAGCGTGAGATAAAACTGAAAATATGTTGTACAGCACCGACTGTGTCACAACTCATTTATTTCAGCTTTATTTGGACTGCAGCAATGTTTACTCTCAAAAATGTGGAGACGTGAACCCGTTTTGTGTGAGGGACTGTATGAAAATTATTGGGGTGGGGAGGGTGAGTTGGACTTTATGTTTAAAAAGAATGTTTATTTGAAAAAATGCAGACTTTAAGACGGCATACCCTGACCTTAACGTTAAAGTCCCGCTTCAGGCACGTTTAAATACTTTTTCTAATACTAATACTTTGCTAAACATAGTTTTCCCACATAACATTGCAAAATGGTCCTTCTCGCTCAAGAAATTATGGATCTGGCCTTCGCCCTGCCCACCATCACTGCTTGCAGTAGGTTTTGCTTTGGTTTTCCGCTTCTGTTCCAGTGTGAGCAGCTAGGTTGACTGGTGAGAGACAGCTAACATTAGCGTTAGAGAAAACACATAGAGATCCAGGCATACATGTTTGAGCCCCATGAGCATGAGCGACACAGCAGCAAGCTACAAGTCAATTTCAATGGAAGCTGGTGACATGAAGATACAAACTGACGCCAGACACTTGTTGCTGCAGACAGGCGTGATGAGCTACAACTCAAAGTTGAGTCGGATTCAACTTTTTTAGGGTTCAAATGACACGGTTAAGTGTCAACCAATCATGTGTTCTCACACAGGGATGCAATGGCGCTGCAAAATGGATGTTAAAAGGCTCAGACACTGAACAAACGCAGAAGTATTTCTGACCAAATACAAACTTCAGATGATGTTCAGTCAACATGCTTTGTGGCAAGAAACAGACACACGCAAGCCCAAGATGATATAAACACATCAACTAGTGTTTGAGTAACACCTCAACTGTGACTCAGCGATAATGTGGTCAGTCATGCTGTAGCATTGCTGCTCGTAGCATGAACACAGCATCAGTTAGACCAAAACTCAAATAAGGAGTCTGTTGTGCACCAAAATCGGTGACTAGCAGACGTATCAGAGTGTAGTTAGCATCTTTTGTTTGTTAGCTTGTTAGCTTGTTTGCTCATAGGCCAACTGGCAGTGGCTTACGCAGTGTTAGTACATACAATAATATCTGCTATGATGTTGCAGTGTGTTCACATTCGTCCGGCTTACAACCCAAATCTGCACACTCAAAACTTTCACTGCGCTGATGCAAACTTTTGCTCTCTGCACTAACAAGTCCGCTCTGCACTGGAGATTTCAGATTTTTTTGCCGGTGTTGTGTTGAAGTATGTTTCCCCACTGATATGTGTTTCCTGTATTACGTAGTTTGCATGGTGTATGGTTCTCAGTTTTTGGGAAATGCACAGACATCACCTCCTTCAGTAGAAGAAAACACCTTTTTAGTGACAAACTTTGCACCAATGCAATAAAGCTCATACATTTTGGGATACATAAACAAGAGAAAAACATATTTTTGAGTGAAGCAGGAACATTTAATCTTAATATGTTGATGGAGTATCTGCAAAGAAGGAAATAGAATATATTGTACAGTCCCTAACCCATTGCTTCACAAAATCTGAATGTTTGTCAAACTGACTCTCTATCTCATCTTTATGAGCGCAATCCTGTAACAAAATACAATAACTGATATGATTCAAGTCAATTCAATTCTATTTAAATAGCCCAATATCACAAATCCCAATTTGCCTCAGGGGACTTCACTTGATACTTGACACTTTATTATTATTGCCACAGTTGCCATAGTTGATGGTAATTGTTTCGGTGCAGCATGGTGGCTCAGTTCCAGTGCCAAGTTAGAGATAAGAGAAAAAGAAACACAAAAGGAAACACAAATGTGAAAATATGTACAGAAACAAAAAAGATATGTACAGTTCAGTTCAGTTCCCCAGCATATCAAGAAGCCCAAGGTTGATGTACAAGTGCAGATAACTCAGTATGAGCTCAGTCCAGGGCCTACAGGGCAACGCAGGTCACCCTCTGTTTTAAACCTTCACAGTGGATAGAGGAAAACTCCCCCAAAACCCTTTAACAGGGAAAAACATGATTATGTTGATTCTACAGATGTCAGTTTTTGTGATCCTTCTTATTGCTTCTTTCCGTCCAGCTGTCAGTGCTCCTGAGCCTGCGGTACCTGCAGACGGCCGTGGAATCAGCCATGGCTCTGGAGGACCCAGAGGGCGAGAGTGAGGGTTACATCCTGGAGAAGGGTGTGAAGGAAACATTCGAGGATGTCAAAGCCAAAGCCCTCGCCATGCTTAAGGCCGTACAGGTTGACCCCGGCACCACCGAAGGCACCGCTGAGGCTGCAGACACAGAGAAAGTCGCGACCCCTACTCCTGCCAGTTAGAGGGGGGATATCTTTACATATGAGCTGAGGAAGAAGGGATGCAGGGGGGAGATGTGTTTGAGGTTTCTTGGTGGTGTGAGTCAGCAGGTGGTGGTTACAACACCTGTTGAGTTTTGACACATTAGACTTGATTTATGCTCCATCCAAAGCAGCAGCCGCAGCTCCCTCGCACATGGCCAAAACAGGGCAACAAATAGGGAATCTTATCAGGCCCTGCACAGACACCAAAGCAAACTTCTCCTCTGTGTAGGACCTCACGGATGTGTAACCATCAGACAATCTGTTGAGGAGATGTGTAGTACCTTTTGTTGTAACTAGAAGAGAGTACATTCAGTTTAAAGGGGTGTAGTGATCTCACACACACACACACACACAGACACATATATTTAATGCTTTTTGACATTTGGCTCAAATTTGGCAAATCACATGACGCTGAGGTTCATCCCATGTGCACTATATTATTCATCTCACGGCTGTAGAGTTTGTACTAAACTGCAATGAAATGCTTAGGAACCTGTTAAAATGTCACATGAATTATATATTAAAGGTAGAAGTTTTTGACTGCTTTGTAGTGTCGGCTTCCTTTTGTACATTGCAAATTCCCTGAGTGCGGGTTATCTGAGTTCAGCAAGGAGAGTCGGATTAAGTGCGTGTGTGCATGAGTGAGTGTGGTGCCCTATATGAAGCTGTCATCTTGTCTATTCTGGCAGCTCTGAAACAATCTGATAATCCTGATGTGGTTAATCCCAGAACTGCTGCACAAGCAGTGTCAGCACACACACACACACAAACACACACACACACAGACTGCCACCGCACAGAAACACACTCTGTCATGCAGAGACAGAAACAGCACACTGTCAGAACATGTTGAGAGTTATTTTATAAAGCAAAAACAGTTCTTAAAATGCTTTTTATTTGCAAAGAGTATATGATTGTGATGTGTCCTAGCTTTTCAATGTGTGCTCATTCTTCTTAAATAAAACTCTATCACAGAATAAGGTCAATGAATGTTTTATTTTATCCATTACAAGCAAGATTATATGCTTTCAGCTGTTGCACAGAGACATGCTCCTTAATTATTTAACAGGTTGATTAAGGAGTGAGGCTGAAAGTTTGGTTTCAGGCTTAGTAACGTTCTTCAAAAATATTACCTGTAATAATTAAATTATTGTTATTACAGTGGCACAATAGGAGACAATATAGTAATAGTAGTAGTAAGAATAAGAATACGAAAATAAATTTTTTCCCAACAGTATCTTTATTGATTTTAACATCAGTAAACAAAGACCTACACATACACAGATCTAGTATGTGTACGTATAGCCTACATCCACAGACAAGTAAAAGAAAAAATAAAATAAAATAAAATAAATATAAATGAATGGAGGAAGACAATAAGTCAGTAAATAAAGAAAAAAGAAAATGAAATCAAATTACAGGATCTGGAAGAAGATACACTTTACATTTTATTTGTAGATTAATTTTTGACGCCCAAAGCACCAGGGCCGATTCAAAAATAAAACAAACAACAAAAACAGTACAAGACAAATACATTATGCAAAAACTGGGACAGACATGCAAAAGGCCCCAACATCTCCTCTACATAGGAGTAAGACACGGACTCTGTGGTAGTTATTCCTCATTTTTAGTGGTTTTGTGTCTTTTTTTGTTAATTTTGTGTCTTTTTGTAGTTGTTTTGTGTCTCTTTGCAGTTCCTTTGCATCTTTTCGAGGTCATTTTTAGTCTCTTCCTGGTTGGTACGTGTTAATTTAAGTGTCATTTTAGGGCTGGAACTAAAGATTATTTTCATTGTTGATTATTCTGTTGATCATTTTCTTGACCAACTGATAAGTTGTTTCATCTCTAAAACATCAGAAAATGGTTAATAATATTAACAAGTAATTCCCAAAGCCCAAGATGTCCTCCTCAAGTGTCTTGTTTTGTCCACAGCCCAAAAATATTCAGTTCACTGTCACAGAAGAGTAAAGAGAGCAGAAAATATTCACATTTAAGAAGCTGGAGTCAAAGAATTTGTACTATTTTGACCAAAAAAATGACTCAAACCAATAAATCGATAATCAAATAGGGTGGTGATTAATCTTAATAGTTTACAAATAAGCAATTAATTGCTGCAACTCTAGTTCTTTTGCAGGTAAGGACCACAGGGGCCTGTTCAGTAATCCATACATGCATATACAGAGACAACAAAAACATGAGGTCTAGAAGTAGCGCAGACAGAGGTAACCAACAAGATTTCTAGCAAGCGCTATTAAAAGCATGTTACCGCTGGTTGCAGCTCTAAAAATATCTTTTCAGTTAACATGTACTGACCAGGAAGAGACTCAAAATGACCACAAGAAGATACAAAGCAGCTGCAAAGAGGCACATAACTACAAAAGTGGGCAAAACGACTATAAAAAGAAAAAAAATGAACAAAAAGGACATACAATAGCCTAAATAAGACACAAAACCACAAAAAAAGGTGTGTTTTGAGAAGTTAGGAGGTTACTTAACGTGGTTTTCTAAGATTATTAGGCTACAAAAAACAAAGTGAATATGCAAATCGAAAATGAAAATAAATGAATACACTGTAGAAAAGAAAACATTGTCAGTTCTTGCATATTTAAGATTCCCTCTGATCAAGTGAAATATGACACTGTTGTATACGTACAACATCAATAATCTGCAGCACATCTGGTTAGATATTGAGATAGAGAGGTCTGTGTGACAGCAGTAGACTCACACCACAGCCAGAATGAGTCTCTAGAAAAAAAATTGCACTGCAGATACAGATAATTTCTTAAAATAGTGTTCACAGTGCAGGAAGTGCAGCATCTAAATAAAAGTAGGGCTGCTTGGTTACACTTCCCCCCAGTGATTTTGTTTTGCAAATGATGCAATGCATCATTTTTAAATGGGCAATTAGGAACTTTCACTTTAATTCACCAGAGGTCGCTGTTGCACAGTGCCTGAATCTGAGTGGACATGAGGCAATAATGAGAAAAGTAAAGCTCTCACAACTTTTAAGGTGATCACTGTCAAGTCTAAACCTTTGTCATTGTTGTTAACCTGTTGGGTATTAAGCAGAAATAACACAGTGGCAGTCATTTCCACACAGCCGTTTGTACATGTAGATGACATTTATTCATACTGTGTCGAGTATTAAAAAAATAGGCCTGTTTTAATAGTGTTCAGAGCGCACAAAAGAAAATGGGGGCTAAATCTTTAGCGTTCTGTTAGGATTATCTAACTCTGCACGCAAAACCCAATGCAAATTTTATCATATTTTGCATATTTGCCGGCATTTAGTGTATTTGAAGATCTTTGTGTGTGTTAGTCAGTGTATGGAGGGCGTGCGAAGACGTCGGCTAAAAAAAAAAAAAAAAGCAACGTGCGTTTTGAAAATTCCGGTGTGGTTTTGCAATGAAACTAACTGTCACACAGTCAGAGAGGAAGAGACAGCGAGGTGGAGGGAGGGAGGGAGGGGAAGGGCCGCAGAAATGTCAAACTACTTCACTTGATGCAAGATGGATTCCCTCTCTCTCTCTGTGATCCATTGCACTGTTTATAGTATTTTTTAATTAGCCGTCTTCTGTAGTATTTCACAGTTAAGTGTTTCTCTCCTGACACAACAATGGACTCTAACATCATGGAGATAATAGAGGAATTCATGGAAAGTGCGTTGGCGCAATGGGTACGTCATTTATCATTTATCACTTCCAGTTAGAGAAAAGGTCATTATTTCTAGAGGCAGAGAGAGAGAGAGGAGAATAAAACAGGCCGATTCGTGTGGAAACTGTAGAAATCCGCCTTGGACAATGAATGACCAGTTCTGCAGTAAAACATTATTACCAGTCGCAAATAGGTTATGACATGGTATCTTTTGGAGCAGCCTGCTTTCCAATTCTATTCACAGGAGTAAATATAAAAGTAGGCGTTGAATAAACAGCAAAAAAAATAACCTAGATACTGCTTTCTGGCTGTTGTGTACAGCAAAACAAACACCCTACTTCTCCTTTTTGGCAGCTTCCCTTGCCTCTTAATGACCAGGCTTTTTTTCTACCAAAGCCTTGACACTTCCGTGTCCTTGGGCTGTTTCTGATTTGAGAATAATACAAAGTTATCTGCTATGTATTCAAGAGTCTCACTAAAATCAGTGGAGGATTTGTTGCACTTGTAACAGACTGGATTTCCAGCTGGGTTTACCACATGGGAGACCAGTCAGCCCAGGGGAATACTTCATCCTGGTCAACAAACATTATTTACATTATAGAGCGATATTGTTCTGAACCTTGAAGGGACATTCTCTGTGTTGTTGCCCCTTTCCAAAGCGAGGGTCAGAGGTCAGATTCAACAGGATGCCCGCAGCTGGTAGGGGTTTAGTGTTTGCCCAAGGGCACTGAGGGCAGCAGGGCAGTTATTCACTGACACGAGAGCTTCCACCCTGCTCCACATATGCTGAAGGACGTCCACTGTAACCCTGCAACCCTGTTTATCCTGTCGCACGGGGTCTCGAGCCGCTCTGCCTCACCTTATCAGCCGAACCAACTCGAGCTTGTTACTCTGTTTACCGACAGTGCAGTTTTTAGAAGGTGCAGGTGGGAATAAACCTCATTATATTGCAGTTTGCATTGGCACAGCTCTTCTTAGCAGAGAGGGAGACCTTGGCTGCCGTCCTGCTTGGCTGCCTGTCTCTGTGAAGTGCTTCCCAGTGTGAGAGCACAGATCCCACCTGTCCAGACAGGTGCACCAACTCAAGTGGCTTCCTGTGTGAAAATGTTTACACCTCTCCATCTCCCTCCTCTCCCTCTCTCTCTGTACCTTCTCTCTGCTCCTGTCACTGTCTTCCTTATTTGTCCACCTCCTGCTACACACTCATGCCACCCTTTTGTTCTCACACACACACACACACACACACATATAATCCCTCCTTGTCACTCGCAGGTTCAGCTGTTTGAGAAGATGGTGGAGAGGGAAGACGGCGTCCCACTCTACAGCCAATACATGGAAGTAAACTCAATTTCCCAGAGTGCCCGGGATCGTTACATGAGGCTGACCAATGGGATTTTCCTCAATGAGATCATGAGGGTCATGTAAGATTGATCAAGACTTTTCTTGCTTTATTGCCTTGCAGCCATTAAACAGAGAACTTGACAAGGGAAAATAAAAACTAATTTGATGAACATGTGGGGACATTCCACAGTCAATCTGTAGTAGGAGAGGTCCATTTGAATTAAAAAAAAATAAAACAGTGTAAAGGGCTATTTTTCAGCCATTTGTGGAACATTTTCATTCAGGAAACAAAAAATAAACACGTGTGACCTTGCAGTTAGTTGAAAAAATTGGCCTTGGCTTTTATTAACAAGTTAAAAAATGCAAAAATGGACCCACAAACCAAAAATTTATTTTGGAATAAAGAACTATTTAAACCCATTAAAATAACTAAGTATGACTTTTAGACATGCTAACGGCATGCCTCTAGGGATGTTGAAATATCTCAACAACTACTGGATGTAATAATATTCCCCACAGGATGAATCCTGCTGACTTTGGTGATAGCTTGATTTTTCCTTCCACC